AAGTGATACAAAGCTCTACAAGAGAATATTTAAGAGAATGAATTGAATTGCAAATGCAAGATTAACAAAATAAATTCAATGTATAATATAAAAAACTTCGTTGAAACATTTTTTGTATGGAATTGTTGCTAGAACAGATATCGCATTACCTCTCTGAATTTTTAGACTTATACGTTGTTTAACAAATTCAGTTGAACGACTCAGTCTAGATTTCTCAAAAATTCCGTCCTATATCCTTAATAAATGACTTATTTATTAATGAATTATTTAGACTAGAATCAATGATATTAAAAATCCTTTTCTTGATTTGTTTAAAATTCGATTGTTATAAAATCATGGCCAACTACTAAAATGAAAATGCAAAAAAAATGGCATCAATTCAATGAAATGGGAATAAATCAGAAAATGTTAAAGATAGCTATAGGAACATGTAATATCAAAATATTCCAATTTCGATTCTCTATCTCATGCAATAGGAAGAACATGGTCATTCCATTTAAAAAAAACTGAGTTTTTGGACTTTGAAGTTTCTTAAATTTGGATCTCCATAGGTGCGATTATACGCAACTTAATTTTTTTTAAGTACACTAAAAGAAAGCCCCATTCATTCTCTATGCAATGATAAAAATGGGTTGCCATGACTATAACCATTTTCAAGTAATCAATTATCAAGGTACCATCTGCATCCGCCATTTTTTTTCATAAAGTCAAAATAACTTAAAAACCATAAATGGCAGATATGGACATGTGGGTATCAAAAGAACTGAAATTTTACGTAGAATCCAAAAATGGAATAAAAAATAGGGGTTGCCATTTAATATAACGAAGTTACTATCTACTTCCGGTGTTTCCGGAAGGGTGGCCATTTTGAAAATATTTTACATCGATTCGGTCTTCAGAGTAACTCCTAAGTATAAATTTTCAAAAACCTACCTATTTTACTTTCCCAGAAACGTTTAACTAAAGCTCCCAAAAAAACACCCTGTATAGGTACCTAATTTCTTTCAGCAGTGAGGACAAATAAAACCTTAAAAAATAATTGAAATATGTAAATACTTTTTGTTTATTTGGTCAGATAATATCGTCTGCGGAGGGATGATCTGCGGCGAGAAGGTTCGCGGCAAGTTGGTTCCGCGGCCAATTGGGTTCGCGGCCGGATGGCCGCGGCGAATTGGCCGCGGCGAGACGGCGGCGGCGACTTGTACCCGACCCTATAAATTTAGGCATTGAATAACTACATACGAAAACCTGAAATTGGTGTAAGTTGTGTTGCATATACTGCAATAAAGTGGTTAATTACCATAAATATTCATATACAGGGTGGTGACTTGCGTAACGCATCGTAAGGATTTCAATGTAAAATTCATAACATGCGATTATTGCCTCCCCAAATTATTTTAGAGGAAAAATGTATTAAGGTTTTTTGTAGAAATAATTTTTTTACGCCAATCAACCGTATTAGTTTTCAATTTTTTTTATATAAAGACGGAAAATTGGAAAAATAAAACTCGCATATTTTTCAATAATCTGCGATGCCATGGAATTTTCTAAAACAAAAAGATATCCAGTTATCAATTAGCGGCAGTTCGAAATGGCTTTTATGATCGACTTGGTTACTGTCTTGCAGTTAATGGCGACTTATTCGAACATTTATGGTAAATTGCTATATTAGGAAACCGTTTTTAGTAATTTGGTATTTCTTTATATTGAATTCGCTGTTCTAAATATAATACTTTTTGATAGAATTTGATTTGTTTTATAGCAGACATTTCATGGCATGGCGGATATTGACGTAGTTTTTGTATTATAAAATTCCATGGCATCACAGATTATTGAAAAAGATTTTTGTCTTTGTTATGTAAAAAATTGAAAACTAATACGGTTGATTGACGTAAAAAATTTTTTCCTACAGAAAACCTTAATAAATGTTTGCTCTAAAATAATTTGGGGAACCAATGATCGCATGTTATGAATTTTACATTGAAATCCCTATGATGCGTTACGCAAGTCACCACCCTGTATAATACCAAGAGTAGTCGACATACTGTCAATTATTTTTGAGGTGCTGTCACGAAGGCTAGTTACGCTGATTAATACCACGAGCGCGAAGTATTAAAAAGTGTTAAAAACGTAACCAGCATGAGTGGAGCAGCACCTCAAAAATAATCTACAAATACTTCGACTACGAATGGTATTCGAAGGACTATCTAATTATTCAAAAGACGCATTAAGCGAAATTACCTAAGCGAATTTATATTTATACGTAATAATCCCGAAGCCCATGACATTATTCCTATTACGACAACAAACGTCAAAATAAATTACGGAAGTTACTTTTCATTTTGCTATTGATTCTATTCGATCGTTTGTGCTCCAAATTAATTCGTTATGAGTGATCAAACTAAAAGAATTGGTGATACGTTAATTACCACACGTGCAATTATTACTTATTTATTTCACAAGAGGTCTGTTGCCTAGTAATTAGACGTAATGCGTAATGCACTATTACGGCTTATTCTCATACCTACCAAATATACAAAAAAAGAGATACAAAAAAATGTTATACAGAGTGTTACATGACCGTATGTAAAAAAAATTTGGGTGATAGAGGGGATCAAGACAAGCACTTTTTCCAAATAAACCGAGGGTTCAATGTGTTTCGTTTGGGAGCCACCCCCAAAGAAGTGGTGAAATTTGGATTTCTTCTTTAATTTTTTTCTCAGCAGCAACCATAAGAGTTACATAGATTGGTGGCAAGTCTTTGAATAGGTTTCGGGTATGCCGTATCCGATTTTGCAAAATTTTTTTTAAAATACCTACCATGAAAGGGCGCACCCCCCTTGAGGGTGCAAAAAGAATTCTGATTTCGACGAAATGTGGTATCTGAGGGTTTTTGAACATGAAAATCACGAATCCGAAATTAGTTTTTGAAAATTCGAAAAAAAGTTTGTAATGAAACTCTTCTGTAAACGCATTTTCGCACCATCCGCAGTCACGGAATGTTTGGGATCGAATTTGCAGACTTGAATTTTAAGTGACACTGACGTTTTGATCTAGCGCCTTGATGTTTTAGTGTTTTGTTTTTTGTTGAAAATTGATTGGATCCGTATATACCTTCGGGGGGTATTATAAAGCGTTGTTACCTATGATGTTAGGCTAATGTGATTTGTTGTTTTTTCAGAAAATTGTGTTATTCATTGAAAACACATTCGTGTCATAACATTGTTAGCCTGACAACATAGTTAACTATGCTTTTAGTCTAGGAGCTAGCCCATATCACGTGTGCAGTTGTATGTGCTCTAAGTTTTGTTGCTGGGATTTGTTAAACCCCTATATGAGTATTTAAAAAATTTGGTCACATTGTCCAGATCATGGTTTTTTGCTCGCCATACGTAAAAATGACCGCCAGTTTTAATTTTTTAATGTAAGTTTTTTTATTTTTTGAAGGCAAACAAGATTTGGCAAATACAAGTTTTTAAGATGCATTAAGTTTTTTAAATAAATCCTCTTGTTGAAGGCTTGTTAATGTTGTAATTACAATATCGTCACAACTAGTTTCGTGAAATTAACCAATAATCTAATTTGTGTGAAAGGATTTGATACGGTGGCTTCGATTTGATAGGACTAAGCGATCACGAAAACAACCAGTGGAATATGGAACACCAAATGACAAGAATTCCCTTCCTGTTGATACTGATGCATATTGGGCCCCAGGTAACAACAAAGAATTGTTGGAATCATACTATGTTGATTGGCTATTTCTGTTACTGCATCTGTTCTCATTCATCTTGGTGCTGCAGATAAAGTCAAGTCAAGACGTTTCACTGTACAGAATGTTATAGAAGAACGTACGTTGGAATCAGATTATGAAGAAGCAGACCACAGAATCCTAACCCATACTTCTGGTACGACACTGACTTCAAATGTAAGCACTGTGGTTATTTGTTCTACCGACACTGATACACTAAAAGAGCTTTACGTTGCCTGTGGATTAGGTACATTGCGGCACATTCCACTTCATACCTGCGATCAATTATTTGACGGGCTGCAACCGCGACATTACAAGCAAAGTCAGTACAAATCTTGAAAAGCAGCAGAACCGTGTGCCGAAGATCTCTTGCTAGAGTTCAGCAAAGAACCACTGAATGATGACATGGAAAAAAGGCAGAAGAATGTTTGTTCGTGTAGTTGAGTGCAATGATAAATTCTGTTTCCATCAGTTTCATCATAGGAAATTACGACACTTTCAAGAATAATCTGTCTTCACATAAAACGTAATGCGATAAATGGATTTAGGCTCTGGAACCGTGTAAAAAAATTAACCCGTTGGACTATGGTTACAAAGAAAACGACGGTATTTTAATTCTACAGATAACTTCAGAAAAACTGTATGTTTCTATAGAAGATTGGGAATAATGTGTTGTGTACTTTTGTAAAAAGGTAAAGGTAGTGTTTTGGACCAATGCAAGAACCCTTACTACGTAATTTAAAGAAGTAGTGGTACATTTTCATGTTGTTTGCCTTGAAAAATCAGTAACACTTTCTTAAAAAATTAAAATCAAGGCATTGTGTGGGAAGATATACTTTAACAAAAAGTTTAGCAACATGCCGGCCATTTTTAAAGATGGTGACCAAACGACCATGATCTGGACCACGTGATCAATGTTTTTTTAAGCTCGTATAGGTGTTTAATAAGAATTCGCTCAAAACCTTAGAGGACATGCAACTGCACACGAGACATTAGGCAGCTCCCGCACTATTTACAATACCGGCTGCTTGTCTTACAAAATAAGTACGAATGTTTCGTGTGCATACGGTATATACCAATACAAACATTGTATACGTTATTCCATTAACTCCTGTTCGGAGTTTGAAAACCTCACCAAAACTACTTTTACTAAGTCCATAAAAAATCATAATATTACGAGAAGGTTGATTTGATTGACCGAGAAGTGCCAAGAGAAATTGGGTTCGCAATGTAACCGATGGGATTTCATGTCGACGCCACTGTCTCATGAATAGAAATGATAACGTTTGAACAAAGGTGAGCTCTATCAGTGTATATGTTTCTATTTCATGATCGTCACTTAGCTTAAAGCATGCCGGTGTGAATGTGCAAAAATTAGACATTAGAAGGTAAAGGTTCAACTGAATTTGCCTTGATTTAAAATAGTTTCTTTTAGACAATTTTAGCAGTAATGGAGAAGTATAGAAGTGCGGAATGTCCGATTTGTTTCCACGTATTTCCCGGTAAAATATTCATGTGCATTTCCGGCCACAGCCTGTGCGAATCCTGTTGGGAGATAACCATAAGATGTGCAATCTGTAACGAATATATGACGTCTATGCGTAATTTTACAGTAGAAGCGCTCATCAAGGAATTCAAGGAGAATCTCTATAGCAGCGCTAGCAAAATTCAAAAAACCGCAAGCAAGGCCCGGGTAAAGGCGAAGGAGCCCATCTGTCCAGCATCACCCAGCTGCAAGTCCTTCCAATCGGATAAGCACGATCCCATTCGACACATGGAAACATTCCACTGTCACGATTTGATAAAGTCAATGTATAGAAGTGGTATAAAGGTAACGAAAACGGTTCACCGTAATGAAGGCCATGAAAATTTCTTTAAAGTCATCTACTGTAAGCAGAAGTTTTTCAAGTTGCACGTCAATATTAACCACTCCATCATGATGGTCCATTTCTCGTTAGGTGTTATCAACGACACAATTAAGGGAAAATTCGACGTGGATTACCAACGCCTGATCAGAAGCGACAAATACTCTGCGGCGATTTTGTCAGATAATCATCGCTTCCTTCTGCGACAGGACCACGCGACCATTCCCAAAGATCGCTGTTGTCCCAACATAAATGGAAATGTCACGCTGGTAGTGTACTTGAACTTAATTTTTTGATCGTTATTTATATGTAAAACGATGTTTCTTATGGAAAAGACAGCTGTGCTGTTCGCATTTTTATTCTTGATGAATTTTTTATATTCTTGTGATTTTTTTAATAAAATTTCTGAATGAGAATTTTGTATCATGTACCTAAGTTGAGATTGTAGTCTATTATGTGTACCTAACCAAGGGAGGTTTGGTTTCAACCCTTATGAAGTTACTGTGCTGTGCGACACTCTCACCCCACAAATAAGACTTTGGGCTGGTTTCCATTTTTTGTAAAATTTCTTAAGGTACCGATTGCGACAAGTGTCAGGCGTACTGTGGATGGTTGGTGTTGAACGTCTACGGACAGATTTCCTGGAACCGGTCGATTGAAATATGATATTTCGCTAAGACGTTAACCTTGTTAGCTACAAAAGTGTTCCACCTGGTTGGTCGCTTTCGACAATCACGGAATCCGACCTGGTAAACTGGTGAATGTCTTCAATTTGTAGTGCTAAGTTTATTGTTCACATTAACTTAGAAAGTAATACCTAGGCGCACAGACCTAAATGAGGTAGCGTTATTTATATCCTTGCTGATGTAGTTTGCTGTTAGAATCGTAGAAAATACTTTACTTCTATTCGATGGTACGATTAATGGTCCTGGGTAAGTTTTATTTTCCGAGATATCTTCTCAACATCCGCACTCTACAGCATGGTTTGGCTCGTTAATATATCGATTAAATCTAGCTGGAGTAGGCTTCATACATACATTGTCTCATTGACACTTGCTCCGTTGGTATTTTTGGCAGGTGCATAAAACACCACTCCTAATTGTGTTGTGTTATTGCCAGGGCCTAGTACCTACCGAATGGCGAGGAATGTAGGTAGTACTACTTCTTATTGTTTTTCTCGCTAGGTGGAATGCGTTTATATTATATTATATATTAATTATATTTATATCATATTTTCTTAAATGGTTTTTCACTTTTCTTCGTCTTCCAATTATACGCGATTTGACCGTACAGCTTAGTGGAGGGGCTACAAGTATTCTGGCGCAATTATCGCCAAAACCCCATGTATTCCTTATGGGAAATTTTAAGGTTCAGTGTGGTAGTTTTTGATGTAATTAGAACTTGTGCGCATGCGCACTCTACCCCTTTGCGCAGCGTCATCTTAAATGCCACCTTAGATTGCATCTTGGCGCTATCTTGGCTACTTTCTTGGCCGCCATCTTGGACACCGTTTTGGTCCGCCATATTGGTCAGCCATCTTGGACGCCATCTTGGTTAGCCATTTTGGTATCATCAACTGCTTGGAATCCTCAACTGCTTGGAATCCTCAACTTTTTGTGAACTTCTTTGGATCTTCTGTCTTGAAAGTCGCGTGACCAGCACTGACATTTTTTTAAGGCACAGTTTCGAACCGCAACCATTGGATTGTAAGTCATATAGGTAACCATCTGAACTAACGGGGATTATAAGACCTAATGATTCGGTAGTTATATTGAGTCTCTAAATATTTTTGTTAATAGTCCTGTAGCTAACCGTCTGCGCTAGTGAGGCTTATGGGATATACCTAATGTTTCAGTACTTGTATTTAAATGGGTAGGAACCGAAGTTTCAGCTAACGGCTAGGAGACTGTAATTTCAAACCGACTTCATCTGTTAGAAAAGAAACAAGCCGCTTTGATTGATACCTATTGTATGCGACGACGTGCTGTTGGTTTCCAACTCATCGTAAATGGGGGGTCTAATGGCTTGGGAGGTGCAGGATGTACCAGAGGTAGGATGATTTCAATTATTGATTTATCTATTTATTTATTGTCCCTCTCTTATTCTGGGCTTTCAACAGGCTTTTACCCAATTACAGAGTGATCCGCATAATGCTTTTTAGAGTTGCCCCTGCAGAAGGTCTTAAGTAGTTCTATACTACTCCGGTATTTACCTTAGGAATTAGGAAAACTGTAGGAAAACCTAATTCGGAGTAGCCGGCAGAATGCTCGAAACTGATCTAAGGCGAAATTCCCAACTCTGTCAAAGATGAAAAATTCTTACCTCGACTAGATTCAAAGACTCGACCTCCCGGCTACGTAGCCCAACGCTCTACCACTGAACTACACAGGAAGGTTATGGGGATGGTAGTGCGATATTGAATGTATAGGATGAAGAGGAGGAAAAATACCTATATTGTGTTTTAGTTTATATCGCGAGCATCACAAAGTTTCAGGCCTGGGCCGTCTCTTACTCGGACCGATGGATATGGTTGGAAACAATACGAATTACTCATTTGAACGGAAAACAGTTTCCCAGGTACGGTTTATCTCGAATATGTGCAACATAAATTTGGTGGTGGTGATGACATCTTGTTGAAGACCGCGTACTCGCAATGTACGCGGTTTGAAACCTTGTTTATGACGGTAGTCGTGTATGATGTTTTCAAGAATGAAGACATTGCACCGGCGGTTGGGTACATTCTGTATGAGCGTAGTAGTGAGTATAGTGTCTTCGGACTGAGGACTTTGGATCCGCAACATCGGCGGTTGGTTGAATCTTTCCGTATATAAGAGACGCAAATTCCTCTAAACTGGTACCGTAATGGAGTTTGAACACTGTTTCTCTTATTGTGGAGGATATAAATAAATTGAATTTCGTGAATACGCGAAAATATGTATAACCATCTGTTACTTTTTAGGATTTTTAATACGTTTAATATGACCCAATTTACTTCAAAACAGTTGCCGTATTATTATTTATTAAACGGAGGTATGTTAAATTTTGTGTTCTGAATGGATTCGACATGTAATTTCTTTTAGGGTTCTAGTGTCGTCCTAATTTTTTGTAGTTTCTGAATTAATTACAAGATTAAGCACCAAGTCGAATAACGAACCATATGCTATGTCAATGGTGTGATAGTTTGTTGGCTGTTTAATTATTGGGTATTTTGGTCTCTTTCAGAGTGCTAAATCCCCCTCAGTGTTGGACTTGGGTGGCTCAGTGATCGGAGTGGCGTGTAACGCCAGGCTTGATCCCGCGTATGACGGGTGCAAATAAGAATCCAGACTACAGCCAACACACTACTTTTGCCGGAATTTCGCTTAAGACGGCTGTGTCGTCGGGTCAGACCGCCGATTGAGTGAGCAGTAGGGTAGTGGCAGCAGACTGACTAGCTGAAAGTAGATTATTCTCGAATGACCTACTCCAAAACAAAATCAAGTCTGTTTTTAGCTACCCTTTAGAAGCTATAATCCCCTAGTAGCCCTTGCGCCTGGATAGACGTCCCCTTGTTGGGCTCCGAAATGGGTGGGGAGCTAGAGGGACACATTTACATTCTTCTGACATGGAAATTGATCGAAATAATAAATCAGGGAGCGTCCCAGGATACTCCTTAACCTATTCTACAGGTCACCAAGCCTCAACAACAATCCACATCACGGAAGCGCATCTCCGTCGCTGAGCAGAGGAGGAGAAGGAAAGTCAGGGTGGCCCAAATGGGTCGAACTGCGCTACCAATCATCTCCAAACCGTCCACCTCCCGTGCCTTAATCTTGTCCCTGAGGCAGGCTTCTAGAACTAACCCCGGTCAGGTGGGCAAACGGGTAGGCGGAGAGAAAAAGGGGCAGCGGCCGGATGACTCACCGACCCAACCGTCGACGAAGAAGGGCAGACCACAGCCTCATCGAAAGGCGAGTGTCAATAAGACTGGAACATCGTGCACTAGCTACAAGTAAGCTGCCGAAAAGTAACTCAAAGTAGCAATAACCCCCTGGTGCTACACTAGCATCCACGTTCAGGGGGTCGAGGTTCCCTTGAGTGGTTGAAGGAGGTGGTTGGCAACCTCCCACATTTGTGGGAACATGACAACTTGGTGGTGGTCAAGCGGCGCTTGGAGGTGCAGAATTCCTGGGCAAAGGTAGGCACCTGAATCTCCAGGGGGGGGGGTCCGTTATGAGTTTTCCTCTCTAAAGGTGAGGGTTAGTAACCCTGCCGCATCTGATGTGGGGTGGGGAGTACGTGAGTACAACCACCCTAACAACAGCAGCTGCTACAGGGGCAACTGTAGGACGCTACGGAAGTATCACCACCTACACTGCCAAGGTAACAGACTGTGACTGATCTTAGCTGGCATTATCGAGTACCTCTGACCACATAACGAACTGGCAAGTCACTCCAGACGAGATTATGATGAATAATCTCATTCGAAATAAACTGCAAAGAAGCCGTTGAAAAAGGTTATCGCAACCCCAAGGTAACGGATATTCCCCTTTAGAAACATCTCCTTGGGGAAAAACACAGAGAGCACCATTTCGGGGGACGCCCCTTGGGTCCTGCCGACGTACAGGACAAAGTACATCTTGTTACAAACTCCATTGTGGAGGAATGCCAAGACGCCCTATAACCATCCCTCGTGGTGCGGGGCGCTCGATAAGTCAGTTTGGTAAACTGCTCAATAAGGCAAAGAAGAGCAAAGATATAGCCGATTGAGTGATCTATAAGGTAAACCTAAGGATATTCAGGATGTTCATTTGAAAAGTGCCCATCAGGGATTTATCGAAAAACCACTGGTTAAATGACAAAACGCCGAGACACGGCAAAAGATTTGTCAAGCGGACAACTTTTTAACTAAAAAATACTTCACCTCCTTTCGTTTCACGCCCCCCCCCTTAAAACTTTTAAATGACAAGTAGTATCGAGCTTGTTTGAAAGGTCTTTCGAAGTACGTTATTTTGACGTTTAATTTGTAGCGCATTTTTTAAGAACTACAAAAAATGTGCCATTGTTTGCGTTTTCTCCGTCCGTCTAGACCTACTTCTGCCGTTTTGAACTACTTCTAGGGGAATGGTCCTAGATTCCTGGAATTTTTTGCAGTGCCCATTAAATTTCGCTGTCTAAAAGGCCCCCCCCCCCCACGAATTATTTCCTGAGATGCTGTTTTTGAAAGTAAAACGTGCATAGCTTTTACATACGACTACCAATTGGTCTCAGATTTTGCATACGCATGCCTTTAGTCGTGCCAAGTTACAATTTAGAAAATGGCGCGGGAGGGGGGGGGTAAACACATGTTCTGCTCTTCATGGTATTCTAAATGAAAGGTCTCATCGAAATAAATTGGTTTGTACACACTATAACTTTCCCGTGCAACTCTTTTTCA